GTAAGTTTTATTCATATCATTATCTAATTGTTATATGTGTTGTTATGGTTTCCAAACTAGATTACACATATTTTAGGGCACAGATCCTGTTGTGTGTACAGTAGAAGTAATAAATACTGTCAATGACATTGAAGTTATAGTTCTTCACAATGCCAATATGTGCAATAGGATGCTACCATTCATTTGTATTTCTTTCCAAAATCCCTTTCGTCGGTGAGGTGAGTGATCTGAAGGGTGGGAAAGTAATCCTCCCCCTTGGAGCTCACATAGAGGTATTTTCATTCTGAAAAAACTTTGTAGCTCGTGCATACTTAATTTTTTAAAAATTTGGACCTCAGGCATAAAAGGCTGCTGACCAGCGTTTTGGCTGTCTTAACCTTCCCAGGACAGACGCTATTTCAAATGTCTCTGATCCCTACCACTGGTCACAGTGCACAGTGTCTGAAATAAAACAGAATAAGGAAGGAAGGAGGGAGGGAATATTAAATAACCAGCTCCATTTATATTAGCTGTTGAATATTCATCACAGGCAGAGTTTTTTGGTGCTTACCCATCAGAGCCAGATTCAAACCAAGACAAGTGCCATATTATTTTGCGAACAATAGATTCTCTACTGATGGGATCCAAGTGGAACAAAGACTGTGAACCTGAACGAAACAGCTCTCCGTGTTAGCATTCCCGGGAAACCACACCTGGCCTCGGAGAACCTCCTTTGTCTGCGCTCTCAGCCTCCGTGCGTCCCCACAAACGTCCCTGTCCACTCCCCTCGTCCCTGTCGACTCCCCTCGTCTGTGAGGCGGCTCTGCAGAAGCCACTCCCCGTGGCCGGTCCGCCCTTCTCCGGGGAGCCTTGTAGTGACTCGATGGTTCTCATCTGCGTGGGTTGGCTGCTTTACTCTGACAATCGCCACACTTTTATTTATTTTTTATTTTTTTATTTTTATCCTCACTTGAGGACATTTTTGCATTCTTTGTTCAGAGAGAGCGGGAGGGAGAGAGAGGAAGAGAGAGAGAGAGAGAGAGAAACATCGACGTGAAGGGACACATTGAGTGGCTGCCACCTGCACGACCACCCAGGGCCGGGGACAAACTGCAGCCGAGGTACATGCCCTTAGCGGGAACCGAACCCGGGTCTCTCTGGACCGCAGGCCGACGCTCTAACCGCTGAGCCAAACCGGCCAGGGTCAATCGCCACACTTTTAAAGTGCACACCCCACAGCCAAGGAGTGGGCCCAGACTGCAGCCCATGGCCAGGGCCACTGAACACAGAGAGTCACAAAGCTGTCCTCCATTTCCAGGTCCCCACTGACCCTGACTCTGAGCAAAGTGTCTGCAGAGCTCCGTGCCCCATCCCTACACCAGGACATGGGCCCTCGGATGGGCAGCAAGTGGTCAAGGGAGACGGGGTGTGTACAAGTGTCCCCCAAACTACAAACATGCACATGTGCACACACACTCTTATTACTCCTAAGTTTAGTATTTGTACAGTTATTTAAACTTGTAGTTAAAAAATAAAGTCTACTGATCACAGACATTCACTAAGAGGCTGAGTCTAAATGGTCACACCACCATTTGTTTGTCTGAAAACGATAAACAAAGTCCATCACTAAAATCAGTGTGAACACAGCACAGGCCTCGAAGGCGTCGAATCCGGTTCAGGTCTCACCCTCCCCACCTAAGAGTTCTCTGGCTTTGGTTGGGAAGGTGGCGCACTCCCCTTGTTCCTCTGTCATCTCACTGGCTGGTGGCTGTCCTCCATCCTGAGATACAGGGAGTGACAAGGTTAGGAGGAGGAAGAGGTCAGATAAGTCTCAAGTTTCTTTGCTGCTGAACTAGCTTAAGTCGTGTGCCTTCTGGGGCCAGTCACTGAGCCAGGAGGGTGGGCCAATCTCATTGGCTAGGCTTGGGTCACCGCTCCCTTGCAGAAGGGCAGAGAGACCCACTCCTTTCAATACAGACACGGGCCTGGGGAGGGATGTTCCCAAAAGGGGAATTTAGGTGCTGTTTCCACAACTCGGAATAAATGCGGGCTGGTAAAACGTTCACGACTCTCTTTTCCCCCCACTTGGGTATTTTCACATCCCCAGTAGCCATAATTTTTGTTCTGTTCTGGTTTCTTGCACTCAGGGCTTATTCCAGTTACATGTCAGAACCCTTGTTCTCTGTCCAGGCCCGGGAGATACCACTGGATAGCAGGGTGTGGGGTGTGGTGTGTGGTGGGGGAGGGGAGCCATCCGGGCATGCTGTGCAGGAAGGGGGTGAGGGTGTAGAGTCCTCCCTGCTTCTGCACAGCGATCAGGGCCCTGAGCACTGACCGGCAGGGTTCCAGTTCAGACTGTGTTAAATAGGCTTTCTAATTAGCACCGCTGCCAAGATGATTTCTTCTGCAAAAATCCCATCTTCGGAACAACCAGCTTATAATGAACCGTTGTAAGAAAGAAACTACTTGCTTATTGCCTTAGTTCATTTAAGCTGCTATAACAAAATACCAAGATTGGGTGGCTTCTAAACAATAGACATTTCTCACCGTTCTGGTGGCTGGGAGCATGAGGTCAGGGTGCAGCATGACTGGGTAAGGGCCCTCTTCTGGGCTGCAGACTGCTCCTTGCACCCTCACGTGGAGAAAGGTGCTCGGAATCCCTCCGGGATAGCTTTGATAAGGGCGCTAATCCCTCCAAGAAGGCTCTGACTTCATGACCTTTCAAATACCACCTCTTAATACCATCACCTTGGGCACTCCGTTCTCGGCATACGAATTCTGGGGGGATACAAACATTCAATCTACATTGTTTACCCTGACACAGCTCTTTGCTTTGCTTTGTAAATGCTCCCCTGTCCTTTAACTGTGAAATGACCAACTGTCTAGGTTTGCCTGGAACTGAGGGGGCTGCCAGACAAGGAACTTCCAGTTTTAAAAGTAGGACAGCCCAGAGCGGAGATGAGAACACACAGAAACACTGAGCGTTTAGGACTTTGGGGATTATAGAGACTTTAGACATGTACTACAGCGTTCTTTGATGAAAAACGGCACTGCATCCTGTCAAAGGGGACCTGCACCCAGGCGCTGGAGGAAGAAATAATTAGAATCACCTGTTCCTTACGTAACTCTACCTTGGTTGGATGGCTTTAATAACCTATTTATTTTAAAATGCGTTTCTAATTATATCCCCCTCTCTTTTGTTAGTAATCTCTAATATAAGGTATTTCGCCTTTGTTATTGATATGAAGTCCATGGAGGAAACTGTACTAATCAAGAGGCTCAGATCAATGAATTATCATAAAGTGAAGGCACCCATATAATCACAATCCAAAGGTAAAAGAACAGCCAACTACGGAAGAATTTTCTTTTTGGTCTCTGAGACATCAGTTCTCTACACCCGGAGTCTGTTTCTTGGGCTACCTAAACCGTTGCCTGCTAGTAGCTTCCAGAATTCCAGGTATAGCATCAAAAGAAAATAGTGTGACTTCTGGTGAGCCTTGCAAATATAAACTTCTTTTCAGTGATGAAAAATGTTACATAATTAGCATTTTAAAATTTTTTGACAAAAAGTATACATATGACGGTGTACATGTTCCTTTCTTTCATTTTGAAACTACTGTGCGGGTTTATTCGGCCACATCGAATGTCCTTGATTCCAGTTTGCATGGAGGTGAAAGACAAGCAAAGGTGGAAGGCCCTGCACTGCCAGTGATGCATTATAAATGCTGCAGAAATGATGGTGATAGCTACACCCTACGAGTCTAAATTTTTTAGATTATTCCTTTTTAAATAGCAAGAAACGGAGGCCAACTGACTGGGGTACATGGCAAGCCAAAGGGAGCTGCGGAGGTCCTGTGTGGGCACAAACCAATTAAGTGGAACTCTCACTGAAATTGCTTTCTCAGCCAGGATGGAGAATGATTGATCACAAGTCACACTCTACACGTGTTAGCCTGGAAGAGTTTACAAGTAAATCTGGCCCAAGGCCATGGCCACTTCATTTCACTGGCTGAAACACGTCAAGTGGCTAAGTGAGGGGGAAAGCCACTTCGTTCTTTGCACAGGGAGATCCTCCAGCTGGGCCTTGCGTTTGTCCATGCTTAGGGTATGTAGGTAAGAAGGGGAGACTGGTCTTCATATGCAGAGCTGAAGAGGGGAAGTCTGCCTAGTGAGGGTTGTCAACCCCTGTGGGTCTTAGAAATTGCCAGTTTTTAAAAAAATGTTTTTATTTTTCAATTACAGTTGACATTCAATATTATATTAATTATATTAATTTCAGAAGGACAGCATAGTGATTAGACATCTATATAATTTACAAAGTGATACCCCTGACAATTCTAGTACCCACCTGGCACCATATAGTTATGACAGTATTACTGACGATATTCTCTAAGCTATACTTTACATCCCCATGACTATTTTGTAACTGCCAATTTATACATCTCAATCCCTTCACCGTTTCTACCCAGTTCCCCCAACGCCCTCCCACCTTGCCAGGGAGTTTTAAGCAACAGAAGACCCAGATGCTCATAGCTCGTCCAGGACCAATTACTCTCATTCTATGCAGGTGGAGCTCAAGCATCAGCAGGTTCAACCACGTCATTCTACTCTGCAGCTATGGTTGGCAGCGCTGGGCTAGTAGTTCGAGCCCGTGGCAAGGACTCCCCCGGAGAAAGGCGGCAGGTACCCACACCGCCTACAGAAGGGCTGTCCCTGCAGCCCAGGGGATTTAGTTCGCAGGTGCGATCCCGGGCAGAACTTGGTCGATGGCGTTCCCCGGAGCAGCACTGGTTTAGTAACTGAACTCGTCACGACTTCTCCTTGCAAACACCCCCCAAGAGCCCGGCACCGCGGCTGCAGGGCCGCAGCACAGGGACATGCGAGCGACCGGACCAGCACACTCAGACACCGCCGGCGCGCACCGAGCCCGAAGGCTGAGAGCGCATGCGCAGACCGAGGCCCGGGGTTGAGGGCGCAGGCGCGACGTGGGGGCGGTGCTTCCGGCCGGCGGGGGTGGGGCCTGCTGCACGCGGTGGGCGGACCTAGACCTCGACCCCTAACCCGGTTTGCGTCTGTGACCCCGACCCCAGCCGTGACCCCCACTCGGCCCACTGATGGCCCGGCACGTGTTTCTCACGGGGCCCCCAGGTAACGCGCCTAGCGGAGGCCGAGGGGTGGCGAGGGGGTGGGGAGGTGGGGGCGGGGCGGGCGCGCGCGGTCCGGGTGGCCGCTCCCGGCTCTGGCCGCTGTAGGGCCCGTACGTGAAAGGCGTGGTGCTCTGAAGCCTGCGCGTCCTTTCCCAGCGCCGGGGACAGCGCGCACTGGAGCCGAGGCCCACGGCGGAGGGAACAAACGTGTGTCGTGGGCACCTGGGCTTTGTCAGGTGAGGTCGTGGACAGCCGGCCCCGCAGGGTAACGACGTGGCCTTGCCGTTGTGCCGTGCCCGGCGGTGCTTCAGGGTACCCGTCACCGCCGAGAGGGGTAGGAGGGGCTCGGTTTCCGTGGAGTGTGACCCGCCTTCGTGAGCGAAAGAGGTGGGGGTCAGTGGGAGGGTATTGCAACTATGGGTGAAACCTTGGCCCCCCACGGAAGAGGCTGCAGGCTGAGAAGCCTTGGTGCCCACCGGACCCCCTGAGACCCTGTGCCCGTGCCTGCCCCGTGATGCTTGTCGTTGGGCAGACCCCTCAATTCTGTGGGCAGTGGCGTTCTCACCTGTGGATGGGACATGTGAGGTCAAATGAGAGACTAGAGGAGGCGGTGTCTTCTAAACCAGGGTGCTGCACAGGTAGGGGTGTGGCCGAAAGAAGAGGCAGGAAGGTGGTGGACCTCAGGCCAGGGGAGAACGATGGGCTTAGAGTGGAGACAATGATACTTCTTCAGCTCCTTTGCAAGGTGGGTCTAATTAATGTTCCAGTTAGCTGTGAGTTCAGATATCAAAGTTTGTAACCCTGGGCCTGGAATTTCATTAAACAGTTCTGTCACTTCATTAAAAATTGTTTTTCTTTTCTTTTTTATTGATTTTTAGGGAGAGAGGAAGGGAAGAAGGGAGAGAGAGAAATATTGACCGGCCGCCTCCTGCATGCCCTCCATTGGGGATCGGGCCTGCGACCTGGGCATGTGTCCTGACCAGGAATCGAACCGGCGACCTCTTGGTGCATGGGTCAGCGCTCAACCAGTGAGCCACACTGGCCAGACTCTCACCTCATTTTAATGATTATGCTTAGCCTGCAGTCGCAAAGACTGCGCTTGATATTGCAGACTTTGGAATTTTATTTTCACCAGGCAGCGGAGGAGCGGAGAGGAGGAGGGGATTTGAGAACTCTCTAATTTTGCAAAGGACTGTTTTTTGAAAGTTGATCGGTCAGTCCTTTATTTGAGATCTGGAATGTAGTTTTCCAGCAGGCTCGCCCCAAGATGCCTCTGTGTTCCTAACAAGTGACCTGTTAATTGTGCTTGTACCTGCTTGAGTCCTGGAGGTGGGTGAGGTCAGAAGCTGGCCAGGCCAGCACTGGTGCTTTTTTATAAAAGTTTTATGTACACACAGTTGAAAGACTCATACAGTTCTACAGTGTAACTCTCTGAAACCTGTCTGCAAACCCACTCACCTTGTCTGTCTGTCTGTCTTCCTACTGCAGGTATAGTGTAATTCTGACTCACTGAGTAGTCAGTGTTTATAGTATTAGGACTATGTAAGAGCTAATCACTCAAGAGCCATGTAGTAATGTATAATTTCTTTTCCTTTTATCCACAGCTTTCTTTCCCCACTGGGATTATTGTCTGTTTTTTCATTCACTTAGTTTCTTTCTGTCATCAGCTCAATCCCAAACTCTGCCTGCTGGCTAATTCTTCTCTACGTGTTCAGACCAGCAGGTAACCTCTTTTCTCAAAGAGGGCACTTTATTATATATGCTGTTAGTGCCCTTGGCACTTACTTAGCATTTTTTCCATCTTCAGCTGTCCCAGCTGTGACCCACCTTGGAGAGCTTTCTCTGGTCACTGAAGCCCACTCTGCCCGTGCGCAGGGCAGGTCTGACAGACCAGGGACGTCCTGTCCCCAGGAGCAGCCTCAGATCCATGAGAGATGGAAGTGAGCTCCCTGCTTCCTCACCGTCAGACAGGATAACTGAGCCACGTGTCTCAAACTACCCCCTGGACTCCCCAGTGGGCTAGGCTCCAGCTACCCACGTTGATTACTTGCTTGACAATGCACTTACCTCCCTGCCAGCATGTCTTGGGGTCATTCCCAGATTAAACCACCTGCACTCGATCTTTATCTCAGGTTCGGCTTTATGGGAGAATCAGAACCAAAATGACTGGAGCTTTCTGATGGTTTGTACTACCTGTCTGTGTGGGCTGTCATTTAGGGATCTTCAGTACAGCTCACTTCTTAGTATATATGGCACTAAGCTAGCAGCTTAATTAATGGAGATGAAAATGAACTGAAATAACATTTCTAGAGCTGAGGAGGAAAAAGGCCTGTTTTACTGTGTCCTTCTCACACACAGGACAGCAGGACCTACAGTGTGCCCATTTACCACAGCTGCTCCGTTTCTCTTGCAACATGTAAAAAGCTTTGTGGTTTCTTACATTAAGAGTAGTACCCACTCATTATAAGACAAAACAATTTGAGAAAGTTTTAAAGAGAGGAATTCCAACATATAGAATTAAAAAAAATCATAATGGAATACTACTAGGTATGTCTGCTGCCTCTTTTTTTTTTTTTTTTTTTTTTTATCCTCACCCGAGGACACTTTTCCACTTTTTTTACAGATAGAGTGGGAGGGAGAGAGAGAGAGAAACATCGACGTGAAGGGACACATCGAGTGGCTGCCACCCGCACGACCAACCAGGGCCGGGGACAAACTGCAACCGAGGTACGTGCCCTTAGCGGGAACCGAACCCGGGTCTCTCCAGACCGCAGGCCGACGCTCTAACCGCTGAGCCAAACTGGCCAGGGCTGTCTGCTGCCTCTTAATCCTCTTTTCTCCATACTGTATTTTCATATATTGTGGTCTGTTTTCCATGCTAATAAATATCTTTGTACCTGTGTCAGATTTCTTCTTTTTTTTAAATCCTCACCTGAGGACATACTTTTTAAAATTGATTTTAGAGAGAGGCAAGCGAGACAGAAACATCGATCGGTTGCCTCCCATACATGCCTCAACCAGGGATCGAATCTGGAACTTAGGTATATGCCCCGGCCAGGAATTGAACCTGCAACCTTTTGGGGTAGGGGATGACACTCCAACCAACTGAGCCACTAGGCCAGAGCCCTGTTGCCAGATTCTTGACTGAGAGTAATTCCTAACCGCAGAATTGCTGTGTACTGTGGTAGGCCTGTTGAATTACCCTTCAGAAAAGTACCAGCTGAGCTCCCTGCCAGTGCCACTCACCGGCGTTGAACATTCTTCAGGGAGCTCCCTGAAGTAGCAGTAGGGAGACTGACAGTAAATAAGAATAACAGGTTGTATTTTATTTCAAGGAAACTTACAAGGGTCCTTCAGGAACCCCGATGACTGTGTGGGCAGCCGTAGAAATAATGTGATTTTCACCTCCGTGGTATCTCAAAATAGCTCTATTGCAAGCCTGCTAAAAGCTTTCCCATTTTTGGGTGATCATGAGGCCACTGACTTAAGTCTGTATGGAAGTAGGCTCATCTAAACCAAGTCATGGTGACAGATAAAGGCCCTGCTAAAATGCATGGTCCTTGGGTAAGTCACCTCTGTGCCTCAGTTTCTTTATCTGTAAAATAGGGGCAGGAGCAAGAATGGTAACTGCCTTAGAGGGTGGTTGTGAGAATTTAACTGGGAAACTGCTGTGAAGGTGCTAGAACGGTGCCAGCCCCGTGACGTCAGTGATTACTGTTGTTATATTAGCTAGTACCTCTCGGTGCCTGGAAACGCGTAAGAGATCATCAGAGTTGTCCGCGGACCAGGCTGGGAGGAGAGGAAGGGTCAGGGTGAGGAGGATGACGGAATAGAGGTGTGTAGGTTATAATTTGGGGCGGGGGTTGGGTCAGCCAGAGGGATGCTGGAGGAGGTGACAGAAGGGGTTGCCAACCTGATAGGATAATTCTTGTGAAAAAGTTGAAAACTACCTCTTTGAGTGTTAGTGCTGTTTAAGGGACACAGTATCAGGAACCACAGCAGGGGGTCCAGGGAGCCGTGAAGGGGCTTTCCCACTCTTAATGTGGGTCCAGAGTGCCTTGAAGGTTGACTTCCTAAGCGTCAGCCCTTGGCAGGAGCATGGCCAGTTTACTTCCCGGGTGAGAGTGTGGCCACGCAAGGACGGGAGTGAGACTAGGAGATGGAGCTCGTCTCGGAGGATGCAAACTGCGCCGAGACTGTCATCAGGAAACCATTCAGTTGGTTCTAGGGTGTGTATGTGACAAAATTTATAATGTTTCAGAATTTAAAAATAAGCTTCAAGATACCATTTATATTTTTATTCTGCTTGTTTCTACTTGAAATTAGAAAGTTTTAACACTTGGAGCAATCAAAATTAAAGTGAAATTAATATTCATAAAATGCATCTGCAGCCCCGTCTCCTCCCCACCGGGACTGCTCCCAGTCAGCAGACGCTGGGCGTGCTCCAGCAAGGGGGTGGTTCCCAACGGGTTTGTTTGTTTTTGTCTTTTTCTGTCTTTTTAGGTATTGGAAAAACAACTTTGATCCAGAAAGCTAGTGAGGTTTTAAAGTCCTCTGGTGTGCCTGTCGATGGGTTTTACACAGAAGAAGTCAGGCAGGGAGGAAGAAGAATAGGATTCGATGTCGTCACATTATCCGGCCTGCGAGGACCTCTGTCTAGAGTTGGGTACTGAGATTTCATTTCTCTGGTGTTTCATTCTCCCGGGGCACAGGGTTGAGTCACATGCTCTCTTCTATCTTGAATAGGCCTTTGGGTTTCTTAGAGAAAGAAAGCAGATTGAAATCATCATATGAAAAACAAAGGGTAAAAATACCGTATTTCACTTAAAGCTTAGTCCATGGACTGCTAAGCTCTTCTCACTTTGTAATTTGTAGACCTGTTTCTCGGGCTGCTTTTCAGTGCTAGTTGGTGCAGCAGCTCCCTGGAGGTTCAGGTTGGCCCCACCAAGGTGACCTCCAGGCCCTTTGCTGGTGGTGGGCACTTTCAGTGGTAGGTACCCTGCTCTGAGGGAGAACATGGACTCAGGTCAACTTTGCACACCACTGCTTTTTCTGTAGGTGGTTTTTATTTTTAATCCTTACCCGAGGATATTTTTAATTAATTACTTTATTTTTAGAGAACGAGAAGAAGGGGGAGAGAGAGAGAGAAGAGAGAAAGGAAGAGATCTCTTGCCTTCCATATGTACCCTGACTGGGGATCAAACCCACAACCTAGGTATGTGTCCTGACCGGGAATCAAACCCACAACCTAGGTATGTGTCCTGACCGGGAATCAAACCCACAACCTTTTGGTGTAGTGGATGATACTCCAAGCACTGAGCCACCTGGCCTGGGCTGTAGGTGGTTTTTTTTGTTGTTGTTGTTAATCCTCACCCGAGGAGAGTATTCTTTGGTTGGTTTTTTGTTTTGTTTTGTTTTGATCCTCACTCGACATTTTTCCATTTTTGTTCAGATAAAGTGGGAGGTAGAGAGAGGGGGAGAGAGAGAGAGAAACATCAACATGAAAGGGACATATCAAATTGCCGCCTCCGCACAACCCTAACCAGGGTTGGGGACAAACTGCAGCCGAGGTATGTGCCCTTAGCGGGAACTAATCCTGGGTCTCTCTGGACTGCGGGCCGACACTAACTGCTGAGGCAAACCGGCCAGGGCCTTCCATTGGTTTTTAGATAGGATGGAAGGGAGAGAGAGACAGAGACAGACATCTATGTGAGATGGACACATGGATTGGTTGCCTCCCATACAACCCTGACCGGAACCGGGGATTGAACCTGCAACCCAGGCATGTGCCCTTGACCAGGAATGGAACCTGAGACCCTTCAGTCCTTGGGCCGATGCTCTAACTGCTGAGCCAGACTGGTGATTTAGCACAAGTGGAAGGCCAGAGGGTCAGTGGAGTAGCCACCAACCAGAATCCAAGACGGGTGGGTCTTTGAACAAGAACTCGCTCTCTTTTCAGGCCGGGCCCTGCACCTGGGAAACAGGAATGCCGAGTCGGGCAGTATGTGGTGGACCTCACGTCCTTTGAGCAGTTGGCACTTCCGGTCTTGAATGTGAGTGTGGTTTCTGCTTCCGAAGCCCGTCTGTTGCAGTGCATTGTGGGAACTGCTGGCCCTGAACACAGAGGCCATTTTATAGCTTGAAGGTCTTCAAGTGATTGACCCTTAATAAGGATATGCCATGTAATTTGCTGTTACTCTGAACTCCAAGTAAATTCCTTGTCACATAAATTCAGCACATACAAAGCTTTGATATTGGGAGGGCTCTGATGCCCAGCTGCCAACGTCCCCAAACACAAGAGTCTTTCCTCTGTATCACTTCGTCTTTATCTAAACCCAGTTTTCACAGCACAGGAAGTAAGCATTTAGGAGGAAAGGTGTCATTACGTGAGCATAACGGTAAGCACCTATCACCTGTTACATTTTAAAAGCAGGTTATTGAGATATAATTCACATACCATAGAATTTACTCATTTAAAATGTAGACTTTGATTTTTCCTAGTATATTCACAGAACTGTGCAACCATCCACCATAACTGAATTTCTCAACATTTTTGTTATCCAAAAAGAAACCCCAGGCCCATTAAGGGCTCTTAAGGTCTGACATTTAACCTGAAATGAAAAGATGAGGAGACACTTAGAGGGAGACTGGTAGGTGTGTGGGGTGAGGTCTGGGGAGAGTGTGGGTGGCGGGAGCAGGCCCGCCGAGGCCCCGAGCCCTGGGCTCGGTGAGGTGGGCGGGGCCACGTCATGCAGGGCTTCGTAGGCTGTATTTGGGAATGTGGGTTTCATTTCATCTCTTACAGACTGTGACTTTGATTTATGTTTGTGAAAATTGAATAGTACAGACCTATCTCAAGAGGCCATTTTAAACCTTCCAGAAGTTTCCATCACATCAACAATAAAGTCCAAGGCCCTTCTTCTGGCCTGGAAGGCCCTGTGCTGCCTAGCCCTGGTAACTGCTGTACTGGCTCAGGGGCGTCCCACACAACTGCCAGGACCACACCAGCCTTTGGTCCTTGGCACTTGCCACTTTCTTTGGGGGGGCATACTCCTCAGATCTTGCTTCGCTGCTCTCTTTTGACTTTCAGGGCTCAGCTAAGAAGCGCAGTGAAGGGCTTTAGTAGCTTCCCGAGGCTACGGGAGATTTTAGCTGGAGCCTGCCGAGGACAGTTTATCGCTCAGAGGGCTGCCAGTGTTGTGCGCTCCGTTGTGAACGGGGACTGCTGCTCCTCAGCATCCACCTTCTGCTTGGCTTCCTTCCTCTTGCTGCTCCGCCCACCCCCCCTTTCCTAACTCCTTCCTCTTGGAACATCCCCTTCTTCCCTGTGCTGGGGACTGTTGTGGACATTGTGTTGCTTGGGCGCTGTCAGAGAACATGGTATTTTTTTCTCTAGTTCTTTGCCCATTGCATACATACCTCTCTCCTTAAATGTTCAAAAGGCAAGTGAAATACTGCAAATGAAATTCCAGGTGAAGGCTCCAGCTGTGCCATGGGTTCCACACACAGAATCGATTTGTACTCGCCTGCTCAGGCGGACTGAGCCTGGCAGAGCGCACGCGCAGCCCTTCTGCGGGGCCCTATGAGACATCGCCTGCTGCTGGGTCAGACTCGAATCTCTTTTTTAATTAAAAAGTCGAGCAGACTTCTCCTGTTTGTTATACTTTGACTACCAAAGCCACACATTCTCATTCGAAGTAGGAAAAGTTCCCAGGCTGTCAGTTCTTACCCCGTCTGGCTCATGGATTTCTCTTCTGAAGCAGAGGTTCAGTCCTATCTCATGTATGTTATTGTGATGAAGAAAGGAAAAAGAATGATTATTTTGTCTGGATACTAAGAGAGAGAGAGAGAGAGAGAGAGAGAGAGAGAGGAATGTTAAAGTAACCAGGCAACAAAAATAGGGGAAGAGAGAGAGAGTTTCTGCTGTCGGAATTGGAATGACCAGCCGGAGTGAACTGAGAATCACCGTCAGGCCGGTGAGCCCCTCGGTGCAGACAGTTGCGTGTTAGTTTGTATTGCCCAGGTGTGGGACAGCACACACCTGACAAGGCAGGAAGCGTCTGTTAGGTGGCTCCTATGTGGACCTGAGAAGAACAAAGCTTTGGGCTGGCAGAGCAGGCTGCTGTGTGCTCGGGCAGGCGGCTGTGTGCTCGGGCAGGCTGCTGTGTGCTCATGTGCTCGGGCAGGCTGCTGTGTGCTCATGTGCTCGGGCAGGCTGCTGTGTGCTCATGTGCTCGGGCAGGCTGCTGTGTGCTCATGTGCTCGGGCAGGCTGCTGTGTGCTCGGGCAGGCTGCTGTGTGCTCATGTGCTCATGTGCTCGGGCAGGCTGCTGTGTGCTCGGGCAGGCTGCTGTGTGCTCATGTGCTCGGGCAGGCTGCTGTGTGCTCATGTGCTCGGGCAGGCTGCTGTGTGCTCGGGAAGGAATGCAGCTGGGAGCTGGAAGTGCAGGCGGCCTGGAGGGGGTTCCGGCACGCCCCGCCCCTCTTGTGCAGCTAGTGTTTCCTTTCTGCAGGCAGATGGGGTCCCGTAGGCCTCTGTGAGCACACGTGGGAAATAGGGAAGAATCAAGTAAGACCAGAAACGTTCTAGAGGCAGTAATAATTTTAGAAAGTTCTTGGTAGGGTTGATAGTTGTTGATTTTTTTTTTTTAACTCCACGGATGACATCTTTCTTGAGTATTTAAGTTCTACATATTCGAGATAGAAAAATTAGTAACAACAAAAAACTGAAATAACTGAGTTTAACCACTGTTAGCATATTTTGTTTCTGCCCCTTTTTATATCTACTTGATTTGTTCAGTCATCCAAAATTGGGAAAATGCTGTCTATGCTTTTAGAGGCTTGGGTTTTTCCTGTAATATGGTTGAGTGACATGGGAATGGTCTTACAACATGATAATCTTTGCAACTGTGATATTTTAATGATTGCATATGATTTCATGGTGTGGATTTTCATCTTGGATATAACCTTTATTTCCTTGGTGTTGGACATTTAGGTTGTTTATCCCTGTTGCAGGGTAACCTTGCCACAAACACCCTTGTACATCAGTCTTTTTCTCCAACGTGATTGTGTCTCTGGGAAGGATCTGAAGGTGTAGGTACTGGATGGAGGCATGTGAACGGTCGGGGTCTCACCCTGTGCTGCTGGGGTGTCCCTGTGGGGGCTGTGTCCCCGTGACCCTGCCCGCTGCCCGTGTGGGAGTGTTTGTCCTGCTGCGCTTTGGCCAGCACTGAGCTCTACTGATTTTCGATACTAACACACACTTCCTTGCTCTGATTTACATTTTTATAGTAATGAGAGTAAATGTTTTTCAGTTATTTATCAGGTTTTTTGTTTTTTTAAATCCTCACCTGAGGATATTTTTCCATTTATCTTCAGATAGAGTTGGGGGGGGGGGTAGAGAGAGAGGGAGAGAAACATCGATGCAAGAGAGACACATCGATTGGCTGCCTCCTGCTTGACCCCGCCAGGGCCGGGGACTGAACCACAACCAAGGTACAGGCCCTTGACCGGAATTGAACCCAAGACTCCTTGGTCCATGGGCCGACACTCTACTGCTGAGCCAAACCGGCCAGGGCATTTATCAGGTATTTTTAAAAATCTAAATTGTTCATTCCTTTTTCTGTTGGCTTAAAAGAGATCTTTTCTAAGGTGAATAACCTTTTTATATTGATTGATTGTATATTTCTCAGTTGTCACTTTGGTGATTTCTTTTTTTTTAAACATTGAGAAAGTCTGTCTGTATTCTAAGTTATTATAAAATGTATTTCTTCTCTCAAGTACATACTTTTTTTTAACATTTATGTTTTTAATTCATCTGGATTTATTTTTAATGTAATATATGATCACACTCTCAATTGATTTTCTTCCAAATACTTAGCCAGTTTACTAAAACCATTTATAAATAACCCATTCTCATTATACTTCATTAATTATATTAAAAAATGTGTGTCTGTGTGTAATGTTTTAGGTTATCTGCTCTCTTCCATTGATCTGTATGATTTTTTTTATTGTTGACTCTATTACAGAGGTCCCGCATATCTGTCCCCCGCCCCCCCGCCTTCACCACATTACTGTCTGTGCCCATGAGCTGTGCCTGTTCATCTGTTTGACTCTTGCATCAGTGCCATATTATTTCATTTATCATGGTAGTCAGTTACATATTCTCCCGAAAATGGTCTTATCCTTTCTTGTTCGTTCATTTTTCAGAATTGTGGTAGTAGTAGTGATGGTAACGGTGGTGGTGGTGGTGGTGTGCTAGGCACTAATTCATTTAATCATCAGAGTAACACTATGTCTATATTCCTGTTTACAGATGAGGAAACTGAGGCATAGAATAGAAATTAACCTGTCCAGGGACACACAGCTGGAAAGGTAGAGCTGGCATAACAGGTGGACTCAAGATTTGTCGTCCATTATAAAAGCTTTATATAGAGTGATTGGAACTCTATATAATTGCAGTTATTTAGATACAAAGAATAACTTAATCTTTTAGACAACCTTCATCCTCCACAGCTAAGAACATCATCTTTCTTTCTTTAGAACATTTTTGGTAAAGTTATTCGTAGGTTCCTGTTTTCTGATGCTGCCGTGATGGGGACTGTCCTCGGTTTCCTGGTGACCGCGGCTGTGGGAGCGCTGGCCTTTCACCAAGTCCGACGGCCTCGGGGCTGGGAGTCTGACGCTCTGCGGGATTTAACGTTCTGTAGGTCCCCATGTATCTTCTACTCACAGACAGCTAACAGTAGGTTATAATGTTCTGCAGAATAAAGGACATCTACTCAAAGCCCTATTTTTAGGCTCAGCAGTGTCATTTTTAGTAAAGATCCATGAAAGGAATAGCAGCCTGGAGCCGGATGCCAGTGACCATCAGCATCAGTTTGAACCTTGTATTTCTCTGTTTTGATCAAACTAAGGCTTTGTAGTGTATATTTGTTTTTGATGCAGGGTCTGCTTTTGATTCTGAAATAAAACTCTGCTTCAGCTCTTTGAACTTTGATTTTCAGCCGAGAGAACTCCTGTCTAGGGAAAGGTTATTTTTTATCACTCGAGC